CCCCCCTCTACCATAGAACACATTGATATATACACAGGATAAATACATTAAAAGTAAATTACTTTTATTTTAGCACAAGTCACTAAAGTACTATGTCCCCAGTCATGCTTGCTCGACTTCAGTTACAAATATAACTTTAAAAAAAAAAAATCTAGATTTTTCATCATTTCTGGATTGGCTTATTTCTAATGTTCCTCATCAAATGTTCTTTTTTATTATTAATGCATGTTTAATACTTAAAATCTTTAAAAAATGTTGTGTCCCTGAATCAACTGTCACCCCTGTTACTCTGATAAGAATTCCATAGAACACATCACCTGATTATTCTTTTAGTCACATGACACTCCCGGATGTAACATATTTTGGAGGGAAAACTTTCAAGAAGAAGACGAGTAAGTACCACTCTTTAATCAACCCTTTTTTCAATGTTTTAGCAAGATTTTGTAATGTGGCAAAGCATAACACGTCCAACCTGTTACGCTTATTAATAGTGGAAACAATTTTTTTTTGAAATTTTTATAATATGGCTAATAAACATGTTAAAAATGGTTCTTAGTGGTCACCATGTACTAGCTTGTTGTTCATCATACTAGTAGTAATGGCTAAGTTTAGCATAAAATCTCCCCCCTGTTATTGCTATGCACTGTAACATGAAATTTCCTTGCAGATTTTAAAAAGGGACATTGTAGCTTTTAGAAAATGTAAATATTACTATAACTGTGTATTCAAAACAGTTATTAATAGAAAATTGAATGTCCTGTAACAGGGTGCACATTTGGCACGTCATGGGTAAAGACTTTGATTTTAAAAAATATTATAATATAATATCCTTAGCTGGACCAATACATTTTTCTTATAGGTTGAAAATCCCTCTTTTAGATGAAATGTTAAAATAATTCAAAATTTTGTATTTTTTGATGAAGAGTGATCACACTGAAATGGCACCGAATAGTAGGAATGACTGACATGCACACAACAGCGTGCGAACAAGCGTCTACTAAAATGAAAATCGTTGGATACTGTGAAAATGTCTTATACAATATAGTGCAAAAGATTTCTTATAAAGTATTATAGAGCAACAACTATTTTATATGCGTATATGTCCCCTTTCCAGATAAAAAGACAAAACAAAAAAGAAACATAAATTGGGGTGATGTTCGGGTACAGAATATACAGAAGTTCAGTGTTATAGAATCTGTTTAAACTTTCTTAAAATATGATCCAATAAAGCTCCAAGGACCATCAAGCACATCAGGTCCCAGAGAATTGCCTGCTCCACTAATTTGATCTCCATAACATCTTTATGGCAGCTTTCCATCCTCAAACTGTTTGGTTTGTGTAGCTTTAAGTTTATTAAAAATGATCTGTTTGCTGGTTAGAAAGGCCAGTGCTATAATACATTTGTTTTCCTGTTTCAGACATTGTAATTCATAAAGCAATACCAGTATTACCTATAAACTACAATATTCCAGGCAGCACACTCACGGTGTCAGACTAAAATGTCCCATCTTATTGATTATCATGCAGAGCCAAGTCTATTCATCATTCCTGAAACTATTGATTAATGCACTTTTACTCCACTGCAGGAATACTTTCAATTTCGTCACACAATCAGCTTTAACATTTGAAGAGAATCTGCTCAGCGAGCCCTGAGGAGATTCCACCAGTGGAGAAATACTTTGAAAGCTAATTTTTAACATCACAGTTTAAAGTTGCACAGTTGTATAGAACTCGTTGCCCAGCAGGTCTGTAGTCCTATAGAAACAGTAAGGTGCTGTTAATCGAATGCACTTGATTAACTGATCATCAGTAAGTGTGAGCACCTGCGTAAAACCAAACATTTTCACTTTTTGCTTATGTGTAACTGTCAGATATGTGACAATCTTCCCAGGAGTGAATGACCCAGTAAATTCACCCCAAAGTCAGACGATGCAATACACAGTAATAGCATCTCAGAGTCTACATGTCTTTTGTCATGTCCAGACCAGACAGTGGAGATGTCTGAACATAATGTAGAGCACAATTTTTGGTGAAAACCAAGCGCAGCAAATCACCACAGCACTGTGGTGGAGGGGTGGTGATCTGGCCTATTTTGCAGCAACAGAACCTGCACCTCACAGTCATTAAGTTTGAACTCCTCTATAAGCCAAACTATTTTAGAGTCAAATGTGAGGCTGTCTGTCTGACAGATGAAGCTGAAATTGGGCAATGATTCCAAGCAAAACAGTAAATCTACAAGAGCATGACCAAAAAAGAAAAGAATCACGGTGCTGCAATGGCCCAGTTAGAGCCCAGACCTCAACCTGATTAAAATGCTGTGGCAGGAACTTAAGAGAGCTGTGCATAATTGAAATCCTTGCTAACCGCAATGAATTGAAGAGACACACAAGTTAGCTATTGCTGTTATAGGTGGTTCTACAAGCTACTCAATCATGGGTTGTACTTTTTTTTCCACACACTGCTTCTGCATTTTGGTTCAGCAGCTACAAATAGAAATATGCATATATATATATAT